TTGGAAAACTCCATCAAGTTACTATTTAGTACATTATTTAGTGTCTCTACTTGCATACTGCTTTTGGCCAGAGGGATTCTGATTAGAAAGGAGCATAGAAATAAAGTTGTTTAATATTTACAAATAACCTTCTGGAATGCTAAAATCTTTATCCCTTCCCTTCCCCCTCCCCTCAGATTCCCTCTGGAAGAGTTGAAGAAAGAGAGCACAAGGAATTCTAGAACCAGAGGCAGAACCCAAAACTAACTGGGCCAGGTCCTGCTTACGTGGCTGTGGGGAGAATCTTTCCATCGGGACCACCGTGGCTAAAAATGGTTATAAACTAAATTGACGGCTTTGCCATGAAAGTCGAAAGGAGCTCGCAGGAAGAGGAAGATTTGATTGTTGACCAGTGGATGTCAGGCAGGCCTCTCCAGTGTCAATGGGAATAGATAGGTTGTGACATTAAAAAAAAAAAAGACTTGGAGATCATGAAGAGAACCATCAGGGCCCAAGACCCACACTGCTTACATCTCTTGCCTTCTAAAGGCCAGGTCACTTTCATGTCAGAACTTAAGGATCAACAGAGAAAACTGTGGGCAAGGCAGCACAGAGGGTATGAACCCTAAGTTTCATTATTTATAAAAAGAGGGACAATATGACCTGTGTTATAGGGGATTAAACTTATCAGAGGATAAGTAAAATCTGAACCTAAAAACTCAGTAAGAGGCATTTACCTAAAAATTTTACGTAACATAAAACACAAAAAGACCAAATAGTTTACAGAGGGCAACATGAAAACTTGCCTGAGTACTACAATTGCCATTCACAGACTGCTGAACTGATACAGCTTCCATTCCTAGTATCTGTCTAATTCCACCTGTCTATTTGCTGTAGGAAGAAACAATTCTGCTTCCTAGTGGGGCAAAGTATTACTTCCTTGCTACTCACAAACCTCAGCATATCTGTCTTTCTAGAAAACTGCATTTTCTGAAGTGACTGTAATGGAAACTGAACCTTAGATCACGCTCACCATAGCACACTTAACAAATACTCTGGTATATATTTTATAAAACGGTAAAATGAATGGAAATGCCGTATCATTATGGTTTGTTTTAAGCAAAAACCTTAAGTTATCTTATTACTCAGAAATGTGATTTAACATAAGCCAAAAACCATTGTGGGGGTATGAGATAAACAGCAGAAAACCTTAATATTGACAATGAGAGTTCAACCTCACCCCAGATATCTCAGCAATTAAGAAAGTTGGTTTCAGTCAGGTATTGCCACATGTGTTTAGTGGAGGATTAAGTGACTGAATGTCATGCCTATAATATATATCTTTATGTAAGCTATGAATGTGTTTAAAAATAGACAAGGCCATGCTGTCAATCTGCGACATTACTGCCACATGTCCGCACACACACCCCACCCCCTTCAGAGATTAAAAAAAGGAGAAGCAGATTAAAAAGAAGTGTTTTGGGCCAGGCAAGGTGGCTCACGCCTGTAATCCCAGCACTTTGGGAGGCCGAGGAGGGCAGATCACCTGAGGTCAGGAGTTTGAGACCAGCCTGGCCAACATGGCAAAATCCCATCTCTACTAAAAATACAAAACTTAGCTGGGCATGGTGCCACAGGCCTGTGGTCCCAGCTACTCAGGAGGCTGAGGCAGGAGAATCTCATAAACCCAGGAGGTGGAGGTTGCAGTGAGAGGAGATCGCGCTACTGCATTCCAGCCTGGGAAGTAGAGACTCCATCTCAAAAAACATAAAAAATAAATAAATAAAAATAAAAAAGAAGTGTTTTGAAGTCAAATCACATTTTACCTCCCACAAGGAAATGAAGTGACTTTCCGAAGTAATTTATAGACAGTAAGTAGCAGAGTCACTGGCTGCAAATCCAATTCTATTTCACCATGTGATTGCTTGCTTTCTCTGGGGAAGAAAGTACTGTTTTAACCACTATTATGTTGCCTTCGAATGGTATTTGGTGCGTTAGGCTTTTTAAGAGAAGCCCCTGCTGCTGCAACTTGTCTTTCTTCCTGTGAGGATGACTCTGTGTAAAGTTAGGTAATGGGAGACTGCTGAATAAACACCTTGCAGCCAAGAGTCAGGGAGCACAGACACGCGGCTGCTGAGCAGTGGCCTTTAACTGATGAATGTAAAGCAAACATCAGGGAAAGAAGAAAGTAGAGGAATCCTGTGTGCTCAGGGACTTCCCTGAACGGGGTGTTGGCCTCTAGTTGGTGAGGACTTGAAATGGCCGAGGGACTCAGAGCTCGGAGCAGAGCCCTGTTCCCAAAGGATGACTCATTCTGAAAAAGATAAATAATGTAAAAGTTTGCCTATGTAGAACTTATTATGCAAAGATCAAAAGCATTCCCTATTTGACTTCTCTGAATGTGTATCATTCAAAGAGCACAAGTGTGAATACAAAGGTATTCTGACCCTAAGAAACACAGTCTTATAACTAAGAAGGTAGGAACAGTTGTGATTTGGTTAGGGAGGTACATAATTTGAAGGCAGGTATTCTATTTCTTTGCATTTTGCTATGTAATACAATTCTTTACATTTATCCAGGAAGCAGTTAAGCAAAAATATACCAGGTACCTATAAAAAGTTACGTTTTCATAGAAGAATACTGCCAACGAGATCCTGTATGCTTTTACATTACAAATCTCAGTCATTTCACCCATCACTCCTGGTGACACCCCAGTGTTAAGGCTGTGAGCCAACACCTATGCCCTGATGTTTTGGGGCACAGGCTGACTGCCTTCAAGAAAATGAGAAGCCACTAAGGGTTAAGACCCTAACAAATCCAGCCCTATGAAGTGACAACTGGCATAACCCTCTTTGCATGTCCCCCATTCACCTCTGACATGAAACAAATCATGTGAATTAATGAGATCTGACAGAACAGCATTAAGAAAAATATGAAAATGTAAAAGAATTGTTCTATTGTTTGTGTTAACTAAAATCTGAATAGTTCATCATCTCTGGTTTGAATGGTGGACTTCTTTTTCTCCCCTGTGAATTTTAGTGCAGAAAATGTTAAGTTTCTTAACACAAAATTGTTTTGGACAAAGACAGAATTTTTAGAGAGTTAGCTGCAACATTCTGGGAAGTTGACTAGAAAAGCACACCAGCCGAAAGATAAACACTGAAAAAGATTTGCATTTTTTTCTTTTGATGGCATCTCCTATCAGCAAATGTTGAGGTGCAGACAGCATGGCCTGGGAAAGGATGAGCCACGCCTGGCTGCCAGGAACACACACCTCACAGAAACTCACTACTTGAGAAGGCTGCTTTTCCGCCTTAGCTCCTGCTGGGCTGGCGCTACCAAGCACCAGCCAAAAGTACACAGTGTACCCAATCAGTAGCTTATTACGATGTGCCTGTTGTTTCACTTTTGCCTGGGTCTGGGACAGACCCTGAACTAGATGTCCTGTCCGACAGTACAGGCAGCTGAAGAGCTTGGTCTGCTGCCTGAGGTCCCGGTTCAATCCCTGGCTCTTCCACACACTGCCTTGAGACATAAGCAGAGGGCCTGACCTGTTTATTGTCTATAAAATGGGGATCGTAACTCCTGTCTCACAGGGTTACTAAGAAGAGTCAATCAACAGATACATGGAAATCCCTAACACCGTCCCCAGAGGTGGCAAAGTTCAATAAGGGCCAATAAGGACTAGCTGCAAATGACGGCTGCGTCAGCATGCACACTTCCTCACTCTTCACAAAGCTGAGGGAATGAACGCCATCTCCAGAAAAGCAGGATGCTTGTCTAGGCGTCTTTCACTACTTCACCTCTGGCACACAGCCATGTCTGGCACATAATTAGCGCTTCACAAATGTTTGCTGCATACATGAATGGCTGAAGGCAAGAATCTGGAATTCTACTAAAAGGGACTATAGGCATTAGATTCAACAGTCTTAGGCAAGGAGACATTTAAGTCACACTGCTACCCAGACCCACTCAATTACTATAATAACAACAACACTTCTCCAATATTGAAAGTTATTTCCTATATGCACTTTTTCAGATAGCCAGAAAACTTTTCAGATAGTCAAGCTCAGCTGCAAATATAACACATCGATATACTGCAATTATCTAGTAACATTCATATCTTCCTATATTTGTAAGAATGTTTCAATGTTCTTATATTTATATATGAAAAATCATGATGATCACTTCCATTTACAATTAAATTTTCAGTAAAAATACTCAACAAAAAATTACTGAGAAAATTACATAGAAAAAAATAATTGTGGTACCTTAAAGAGAATATTTAATTAAGTTATAATTTTTCAAAAGGTTAAAAAAAAAAAAAAAAAAAGCTAACCCGATGCCTTGGAATTTCTTAGCTAAACTTTCAGAAAAAGAAATAAAGGAATAAAAAATAAATGAGTTCTTCAGGTTAAAAAAAAATACTGTGACCTATTAAAATCTAAAGGAAAATTTTCTAAGAGTTTATGACAAATAAAAAATTTTTCTGTTAGAGTCTAAGTAACATTTTGAAAGCTAAAACCTGAATTTTTATCCTGCTACTTGAATAAATCATGGTAACTAAAAATTAATTTACTTAGGACACAGTGAGACAGATGCTTAGAACACAATGCACAGCTAAGATATTTTTCTTTTCTTTTTTTTTGAGACAGAGTTCTGCTCTTATTGCCCAGGCTGGAGTGCAATGGCACCATCTCGGCTCACTGCAACCTCTGCCTCCTGGGTTCAAGTGATTCTCCTGTCTCAGCCTCCGGAGTAGCTGGGATTACAGGTGTCTGTCACCACACCCAGCTATTTTTTGTATTTTTGGCAGAGACAGGGTTTCACCATGTTGGCCAGGCTGGTCTCAAACTCCTGACCTCAGGTGATCCACCCTTCTTGGGGCCTCCCAAAGTGCTGGGATTACAGGCGTGAACCACCACACCTGGCCTAAAACATTTTCTTTAAATGAAAAAAACATATGGAGAAAACATAAAACAGCTTTCACTATAGATGGTGCCATTTTGGTTTTGTTTTACCTTCAACCATGAGCATGGGCTCCCTGCCTCCACCGTGGGCCAGCATCTCCCTGCGATAGCGCTCCCCAGCGGCCCTGGGGAAGAGAGGAACTGTTAGACACCTGCTTGCGCAGCCTCCATTCACACTGGTTTTGACTCACAAGACAAGTCCTGACTCACACTGACATCATATTCATAAAAGCTGCCACCATGTGACAATTCGGCCATTATTTTCTTGCTTCTAAAAATCAAATTCTGGCTTTTAAATTGTTCTAAAATAAATCAGGTGTGATATATTCCCTGTAAGAGGATAACTATACTTTTGGCTCTCTGTTTTGTTAACAAGAGACCTCACTTTATAAAAAGAATTACTTTATGTATTAATGAATAGCTGTCCCCAGTCTTTTTGGCACCAGGGACTGGTTTTGTAAAAGACAGTTTTTCCACAGACCAGGGTTGATGGGGGAGGGATGGCTTCAGGATGATTTAAGAACATTCCATTTACGGTGCACTTTATTACCACATTATACATTGGAATATATAGTGGAATAAGTATACAGCTCGCCATAATGTAGAATCAGTGGGAGCCCTGAGCTTGTTTTTCTACAACTAGATGGTACCATCCAGGGGTGATGGAAGACAGTGACAGATCATCAGGCCTTAGATTCTCATAAGGAGTGCCCATCCCAGATCCTTGTGAGGGAATCATAAGGATCATATGTGCAGTTCACAGTAGGGTTCCTGCGCCTATGAGAATCTAACGCTGCCACTGATTCAACAGGAGATGGCGCTCAGGCGGTAGAGTGATGGGGAGCAGCTGCCAATACAGATGATGCTTCACTTGCTCACCCACCCACCACACCTCCGGCTGTGTGGCCCAGTTCCCAGTGCCAGTCTGTGGCCTGGGGATTGGGGACTCCTGTTATAGAGTAAGTAAAATATTATATTTTATTCTCTATAAAAATAGTTTTAGGATTATTTTAAATGAGGCTTGATATTATACCATTAAGAAATAATTTGTGATGGCACCAAATAAAGAAGAGAAAAAGAACATTCTAAAATAAGAGTGAAGGAAGAGAAGCCGGCAGGAAAAGGTTAATTACACCAGAAGACCTTGGTTGAGGATAACAATTAACAGACCAGCAAGCTCCACTGGAGTGTGCTGGTGGTAAAGGCACAGTGGGGGCACCCTGTTCCCGTCTTCCGGTACTCTGTGTCACCTGGATGTGCCCACCTGACAGCCTTCCACAAGGAATACTGTTTATGACAACATGTGAAGGTAGGTTTGGAATAATTTTTGTAGACATAAATCCTCCAAACTAATGGGACCTGGAAACAAGTTATTTAGTACTACTCTTTTGTATTTTATGAAAAATGCAATTTCTTTAACATACATGATGACACACTATGATGAGGCAGGTGAAATAAATTTTGATATTGTTTCCACTTGAGAAGCTCTGGAGCCTCTTTACCTCTGGGTCATTTTGTGAACATGATCTTTAATCAGACTTTTTGACAGCATTACAGTATCAAAAACATGCTGACATCAAACACTAGCCCTGGGCACATCCTGAAGTGAGTGCTAAACAAAGCAGGAAGCCTGGACTGAGGTGGAGCCTCCCCTCAGGGCAGGGGTGGCTGAGGGGCCCTGCCTGACTCCTGGCCTGGGGTGCTCCGAGGCCCTTCTCAGCCATGGGATATAGTGCACTGACCCTAAATCCAATCCCTCCCCACAGACCTCCAGCTCCTGGCTTGCCTCAGCTCTGCGATGCCTGGCTTGCTGATGTAGGCTCCAGCCTGGTTATTTTTCAGGAGTGAGATCAAAAAGAAGACTTTGACAGAGATTAGAAATTTTCTAGTCCAGTGAGCATTTTTACTAGCTTACTTTAATATGCCCATAAAAGTATGGCAACTACATGTCTAGGCAAGAATGTACACATAAACAAGATATAAATATTTAGAAACGTATATATTTTATTGTATGTGCTTTTCTAGTAAAGTGTACTTCAAACAAGATGATATTTTGCCTATTTTACAGAAATCTACAGTAAAACGTTATAATCCCTGAAACTGATTTACTGATGTCAAGTTTGGCTAAAGATCCTTTAAAAATAAAATCTGAAAAGCAGACCAAATGTCTACAGTCTGCAAAGGGCAGAAGACAAAATACATGTGAGTACCAAGCTGCAAAATATTTAAAAATTCTATGACATCACATTCAGGCTCAAATAATTTGAAACGAATGTGATTATTAACTGCTGAGAAAAATCCAAGTCTATGTCAAATTGTATGAAAGACAGACGGTGAGGCAGAGGTGGGAGGGAGAAGAAACCAGGAATGAGAAGACCTAGATTACAGTCTCAGTCCAGTTTTTAATGGTGAAGTCTGAACAAACTGTTTTCTCTGAGCCTCAGTTTTCTCTCATAGAAACTGCTGGTTTCTGCCAAGACTGCTGTGAATACTACGGGAAAACTCTAGGACACGCTAAAAATCAAGATAAAGCAGTAAAAATAACACTCATCAGCCAAAGCTCCCTGAAAAGAATTTGGAGATGTAGTTATTTGTGTGGTGAGAAGATAAATGCTGTAAACAACTCTGACACCAGATTATAATTACTGGTTTTCTTTCAAAGAAAGCGCCTTCTAAGGAATCACAGGACCCAAACTTGACAACCTCTTGGTTCCTATTGTTACAGGAAGTCCTGTTAGGAGGATCAGGAGGCCAAATCAGGGAGCAAAGAGAAGATCTCCTACATCTCTCCAGCCAGCATGGGATCCCTCGCACCCTTCACCCAGCACAGGACCCCACACACCTCCCCAGACAGCACAGGATCCCCTACACCCCGCCAGACAGCACGGGATCCCCCACACCCCCCAGACAGCACGGGATGCCTCACACCCCCCAGACAGCACGGGATCCCCCACACCCCCCCAGAGAGCACGGGACCCCCACACCCCCCAGACAGCACGGGAT